GGTCTGGATCACAAGTCTGTTGGGGAGCGGCTGAGGGAGCTGGGGGTGTTCAGCCTGGAGAAGAGGAGGCTGAGGGGAGACCTGATCACTCTCTACAACAACCTGAAAGGAGGTTGTAGCGAGAGGGGTGTCAGTCTCTTCTCCCAAGTAACAAGTGATAAGACAAGAAGAAATGGCCTCAAGTTGCACCATGGGAAGTTTAGATTAGATATCAGGAAAAATTTCTTCACCAGAAGGGTTGTCAGGCACTGGAAGAGGTTGCCTAGGCAAGTGGAGTCACCATCCCTGGAGGTGTTTAAAAGATGTGTAGAGGTGGTGCTTAGGGACGGGCAGTGTTAGGTTAACGGTTGGACTCAATGATCTTAAAGGTCTTTTCCAACCTAAATGATTCTATCATTAAATGCAGTAAAGCTAGCACCTTCAGATTTACTTTCCCATATCCAGCATCTGGTACAAAAATAGTGTTGCTTCGTATTGAAAAGTGTTCAAAATATATGCAAGCTTGTTTCCTCTTGCCCCCCAGACACTGACATGATTCTTTTTTTTGATACTGATTTCTACATAATATAAAAAAGCCCCCAGAGTTTGTAGTCTGTATTCTGATGGGGTTTTTTTGTTGTGTTTGTTTTTTGTTTGGTTGGTTTTTTTAAAATTTATTTAGTGTCCAAGTTTGTGGCTTTGTGTGACTTTCAGAAGGTGATAGTACTGGCTAGGAAGTTCCCACTCTGCCTCCTTCCCACTCATTCTGTTTGAAGAAACTGTATAGACACCTGGGGCTCTGGTAAATGAATAGGATTCAAAAATTTACCTTTCAAAATGAAATAAAGTTAGACCAGTGATCCAGTTCATTGTGTATCTCTATAGCATTTGTCTCAAAGAAAGGGTGATGTGGAAGCAGAAATACATTAAACTGATATCCTTACAGGGCAGAAAGGTGCATGACAGTGTACTCTGAAACTTTTTAAGATTCCACCACTGCTGAGAAGTTGAGGGTGATGGAGGCAGAAAGAAAAATATTCAGAGAGAAACAACAGTTTGGGTATCCAACATCAAACTCCAAAGGGAAGCAGCTGTAACTCTCTAGCCTGCTACATCTAGAAAACATCAGTTTGATGCAGCACAGCCTCAAAGGCTATGTGATTTATTTGGAAAACTGTATTTTGAAAGCTTTCCAGTTTTTTGATGTTTTAGGCATCTGCACATGCGTTGTGTGCTTGCTTGCTTTCTCATGCTGATATTTTCTATTTGTTTTCAAAGAATGACAAAATCTTGAGACTTGGTTATTTTCCTGTCTCCATGTTTGTTCTAGTATTCCAAATATTTTTTCAGGAGATAATGGGAGTCTGATACAGCTTATGCCACGTTTTTATTAGTTAATTGCAGGAGGAGTAAACCTCTCTGAGAGGCTGTATGGAGAGTAGTCACAAGCAACAAATACTTTTTTTTTTTTTCCTTGACTGAGTTTGTAATTAAACTTTCAGTAATACCTCAGTAATTGGTATATAGTCTGTGGTATGCGTGTTATACCAGGTTCTCTTAGGGACTGTATCTGTTCTCTTTGTGTAGCAACTGTTTTCACACAGAGTATTTGGTTAATTGGGGGGGGGTGGGGTGGGGCAGGGGATTTTCCAGAAATACTATAGAAAAATTTCTCACGTGCTACATTTCTTTTTAAACTCTTTTTAGTATCTTCTAATCCTGACGTTTTCTTTCCTTTTTCAGACTGAAGACTTGAGTCCTCTTCTCCTTCAGTAGCTATAAAAGTGAATGGCAAGGTCTAGTTGATAGCCAATAGTAGCATTTAGGCAGTACGCCTTGGTAAGTATCTGGAAGGATTGGGCTTATACTGCATTCCTGGCAGTTTCCTCTTTTAGTGGTGACCTCGCCAGTCCTCTCCTACCTAGTAAATACTATTGCTGTGGAAGGACCAGTCATCAGACCTCTTTACTGGGGGAAGAAGAGTCTTTGCTGTACACTGAATGCTTGTGGAGATGATTTTTTGCTCACGTTTCTTCCTTTCAGTAAGAAGAAAGGGAAATACTCTTGTTCCTCCCATTGCTCTCAGAAAGGTGCTTCAGGAGATAAGGCTTATGTTTGAACTTGAGCTCTCTCCTGAAGCGTACAGTAGAGGTACTCCATGAAGCAGCAGGTCAACAGGCTTGTAGGTTGTTCTCCTGTAGGAGGAGGCCAGCAAGCAGTGCCGTTTCCTTTCCCTCTTTTCCGTGCTTAGTGACAGAGATTTTTGTAGTAAAAGGTAGATGTATGGTGCTGCAGGCTGAGCCCAAGTCCATCCAGATACTTGCTAAAGACACAGCTGTCTTGTCTTTTTTGTTCAGTCCAAACATTATCATCTTTCTCAAGTGTGGATATAGTTTATAGATCTTAGCTAAATTCTCCAGAAGGTGTTATTTGTCTTTCTTGGACCTGTGCTGTTCATGTTTGTGGAAATCTGCATGGATTGGTGGTGGGGATTTTCTTGACTTCCTGTAAAACGAAAAAAAATGGAATCGGGCTTTCTCAGATGACAATACAAACCAAGACTTGTCCAGCTCTTTAAAACCTAATTTGCTTTCCCTGTTGGTCAGAGTAACATAGTACAAAATGATTTTAATAGAAGCTTGTTTTTATTGTAAGTGTTCTTGTTTGGTACACAATGCTATAAATGTTCACTTTTAAATGTTCATTAATTAAGTTGCTCTACTAGGCAATTACTGACTCGAATCTGACTGTTCATCCTATTAGAATCATAAGTCTATAAATCTATGAGGTAAAAGGGTAGGTATGAAAACATCAGTGATATCATGTGGCTTATTTCCCTTTGCGGTTCTTCCGTACTACTTCTGTTACTGCATTTTGTTCGGAGTGACTTTGCTACTGTGTGTAAGGGTATATATAATCTGTGGATAAGCAAAGCATATACTTTAGGTGTCTGTTGCAGTAAGGCTTTACGCTTAGATAGGACTACTAGGTTTAAAATTTTGGATCATCATATAGTGTTCATTTTAATGATAGTTCAAGAAGTGCAGTGCTTACCAATTTTAGAAAAACAGAAACAACATGCTGGAAGATAATAATACAGAGAGTTAAAAGTTAATGACTTACAGATTGAATTTAGACTGTTCCCTCTAAAAAAAAAACAACATTTGAACTTGCTTGCTGATATACTTGAGGGTAAAAAATTAATATAAAGGCATTATAGAATGTCACTGGTAATGTGGGGCAGGGAGGTCATACAGTACCTTTCTTTTAATCAGGTGTTGAAAGGAAGAAATCCCACTCTAACGACCCCAAAAGAAATACTTCATTGAAGATTTTAATGCACCAGCAAAATGTTGACATTTTCAAGTAACAGTTTTAGGTTAATAGCTATTCTTATTTGATCGCCATTTGTTAGGAAAGTGACATAATTGTCTGTATTTTACAGTGAAATTACTTTCTTTGTACTGTGGCCAAATGGCTTAGTTCATTTAACCATAGTGTGCTCATCTCGATTGCAGCTCATCTTCATTGCCACCTCTTGACTGGCCTTTACCAAGTCATTACGGGCAGTGTGAACTGAAAATAGAAGTGCAGCCTAAAACTCATCACAGAGCTCACTATGAAACGGAAGGAAGCAGAGGAGCAGTGAAGGCATCTACTGGAGGACACCCTGTGGTGAAGGTAGGAGGTCTGGCTTTCTTGAATAGAAGATGATTTTTTTTAACTACAATTATTGGTGTTTACAATGCTGTGAATTGTTACCTTGTGTGAAGCTTCCAGTCCTTCCGGCGTAGGATTTGTCTCCCTTAAATGTAACTTGTTCAACACAAAAGTTAGTTTTAGATGTTTAAGAATTTACAGTTTGCTACAGTTACTGTACATGTCACAGTTTTATGCTGTGTGCAGTTTTGTGCTTGCGAATGGATTCACAGTGCAGTAGTGTATTACTTAACGTATTCAACATGAACTTTAAGGCGGAAGGGGTGAGCATGGGGGCAGATAAGGAAAGTTACGATAATAGATTAGTTGGAGCTATACTGAAATATGATATAGCTTCATTTGAATCAGAAATCATCTTTCTTTTGGTGTTGAGACAGCTTCTGAACACTATAAAGATCTCTAGGTGATGTTTTTATTAGGTTATTTCTGTGAAATGGTACCCATAAATTCTGTTAACTTTCACTTGAATGTTTGGAGTAAATTAAACTTGACTCTTCTTTCTTCAGCATGAAGCAAAGGTTATTACTCACAGTTTAATGATAGCTATCTCCTTAAAAAGTAAGGCATCACCTAGTTTCATTAGATTTGGACTGGTTTTCTGTGAGGGCACGTAAGACTTGTTTCTTGCTTTCTTTTTTTGACATCTTCATTATCTTAACAGAATCATGCAAGCTTTCTTGTCTCTTAGAACAGTTTTGATCAGTTGCAAGAAAATGCAGTAGTGCAGACAGCAGTCCTCATCTGGCTAACAGAGGATGGTGGTACACTGACTGTTTTGGTAACTGGTACCTGCCATTAACAGTTGCTTTGGCTGAGTTCTTTAGCTAATGCTAAATATTCCAAACGTTAATGGCATCTAAAGCATATTATTTAAATAATTTGCAAACAGCCAATTATTGTTGAGCTCAGAACTAGATGTAATGTCCTGGTAAATTAGATTTAGCTTTCATAAGAAAGCTTTGCCATCATATTCTCTTTGAAGGGAAAGATGTGTGGGTTTGGTATTGTGGGCATAATTGTGTGCACAAGCTGTGATGTGCTCCTCTGACTGTCAGAGTGCAGGTGTGTACACAAACATCTTGCTCTATGATGGGAAAACTGCTGGATTAGTTAGGGGTAGTCACTGTTGTCTCCTTTAATATCTGCGGTGCCAGCTGGCTCATGCAGCTTGAAAGGGAACCCACCCTCTCATACACTGGACATGGAGAAGATTGTGCTGAGGAACTGTGGGATGTCTTAAGATGCCTTGATTTATCAGTTTGCTACATCCTTGAATGAAATCAGTGTCTCTACTTATTCACCTCAATCTTGCTTAACGGTCTTTATCTTAATCCCAAGCCAGGTTAAGGTAGAATTTAACTGTTCATTTGTAAATTAAATCAAGCAACAGTTATAAAATCTTTGAGACAAATAGGAAAAAAAAAAATGAAAAATTGATCTGATTACATAAAGGTTACCGCAAGGTTTGTCTTTTGCCCCCAAATCCAGGGTATTTCCTGTTCTTTTCCAGCAAAATGGCAGTCAGGGTTTCAGTCCGTAATCTTTCACTATAGCAGTCTATACATTAAAAATGTATTTGATAGATTTATCCTGTTCCAGTGGTTGGAAGTAAATCATTACTTCTTGGGACCAGATGCAAAGTGCTAGTAGGACTGGCATAATCGGTCTCCATTCTCTTTCTCCTACTCATACTGTAGTATAAACATGTTTTCAGTTTTTCTCCGTATAGTTTATTCCTCCTCTCTGGCAAGTGACTTCTGTCATGCTTTGTAATTACATCACTTTTGGAACAGCTGTAATGTTATACCTATATAAATAAAGATGTACCAGCAGAATTTAAATGTCTTGGACTATCTGCTGCTTTCTCCTTGCGTATGCAGTCACCTCCCTCCAAGCTCTTCATCTGATTAATTTCTTCTCTCAACCTGACTCCTAATCATATTCTTTGAGCTATTCATCAAACTGTTTCTTCTCTGATAGCTTATCTTGAATTTTTTCATTCTTCCTTTTTTCCTCTTAAGACTTTATATCTTTCCTTTCTCTCCCTCCAACAAAAAGCTGATTATTTGCATCCCGTTCTTCTTTCCTGAATATCTATGTTATCCTTCCATTTCCATTCTTAATCTCAGCTCTTCATCCAACTTTCGTGTTCCCTACAAACTTGCTCAGTGTTTTCCTTCTCATCACAATACCATGACCTAACCAGCTCCAACTTTCTTCTGTTGTCAGACCTACTGGATTTCTTAGCACAGTCGAGGGAAGGGTCAAGTGCCTGTCAGGGAAGTCTATGCTGCAAGCTAGAGAAAATTGAGGATGCCTGGACTAGGCTGGAATCTGAAAGTCGGCCGGGTGCGTTTCTTCATGTGGAGCGTTGTGTTGCTTTAGTCAGTGGAGAACAAGTAGACACAACTTTCACATGCCAAGGTGCTGGCACTGGAATTTAACACATCATTAATGAGGACAGAAACTTGAGAGATTTTAGATGACAAAATAAGTCTCTGCTGAGCTTTTGTGAACTGCAATCAATGTTTAAATTTATTTTTTTTTCCCTCCCCTGGGTGCTCATATCTTGCACTAATATTTGCATTATGGGAAGTTGTTTTGCTGATGTTTATAAGATTTGACAAGTATATGTAGGCTTTCTTTTGCTTGCAGAACTAGATGATTCTAAGCTGCAATACTAGATGCAAGTTAGAAAAAAGAGATTTGTAATCTATATGACTTACACTGATGATTGTAAAAACTATTTACTTGTATTAGAATTGTGAAATACCTTGCTATGACAAGAGTACTGTTTTAAAAATGGGGATAGTGTTTATGTGTCTGACAGTCTCGTGCTTAAACACACAGACTGTACTATGCCCCTCTAAATTAAAATGAATACAAATGCAAATCAATATTCTGTTTTGCAATTTGATCTCTTCCAGCTGGATTAGAAATTAATTGTTGTGCTTGATGGGAGAGAGGAAGTTGTTATGAAACGAAGTATCGATTTGTATTAACTTTTTACTCACTGTTGGGAAAAACAGTATGCTAAGGGCCAGGTTTGGGGAAAGGTGAATACTAAATAGCTGTGAGCAGATGAAAATTACTTTATTTAAATACAAAAGTGAAATCTTTTCCAGCACTTCTGGAAGCTTATTACGCAAATCCAGTTCACGATATGCGTTACTATTTGTTTCTGACTTAACTTTTCTTTTTGGTGCTGTTAGCTTTATACCAGTCACTTCCATGCGTTTGATCATTGTAGTAAAGTACTCGGCATTTTCTTGTGTGAAATAACTGTATGCTAACCAGTGTCAGAGATGAGGGAGGATGTGGGTCAATAAATAGAACAGAATAGAATATTTCAGTTGGAAAGGACCTACAACGATCATCAAGTCCAACTGCCACATCTTTGGGAGCCTGAAGGCCTGTGTGCTTTTGTTTCCTACACAATTTGTTTTGCTCTTGAAAGTTATTTTGTAGGGAGCTAGAGCATTTAATTTCTGAACTGTGAAACATCTGTAGTTCTGCATGTGCAGTTGATGTATAATTTAAAATATTTTAAGGCAGTACCTAGCTTCAAGCCATTAATCTATTAGTGCATGTCATTAATCTGTTACTAATACTGTACCATACCTGTTGCTAGGAGACTAAGCTTTTGATGAATTTGGCATCATCTGTTGTGAGTACGTTTAATCAGCTTATTTCCAAATGTGAGGAAACAAATTGAGTGGAGCATCATGCTTTGCTCTGTAAGTCCATTGACTTTAAGGGAGCAAATTCTGTAATTAAATTCTCTTGTTTTCAGCTTTTTTAATGCAAAATGATCAAAATAGCAGATACCTGTCATTTTAATCTCTGGTTTCTTGGGAGTGTGTTCCCTCTAATCCATGTCATCTGGAACAATTTCTTTTAACTTGGTAGAGAATCTGCAAGGTAACACTGACAACTTCCACAGAGAAGGAATAAATAACTTGGCAGAATGGTTAGCAAGGAGAAAGGTGGCATGTTGAACTTTTGTCATCCAAATTATGTGGAAGTTTTGTATTGCATTGTCAGGAGATACAGTAAGCGTCTGAGCACTGTCTACCTTTACCATTCTAATTCAGTAGGTTAGAGTACTTTACCCTTGTAAAGCATTTTAAACCAACAGCTGCCACATTTCATCTCACTCTGAATGATTATCATTGCTTGAATTCCCCACCCTTCCCATAGGTCAAACTGTACATAATAAAATAATGTTTGCACTTATGATTTGCTAGAAGGAGTTTTTACTGTTATCTAAAATGATTAGGGTTCCTCGTGAGACTTCACTTGGATAATGCTTATAATCAAAAACATAAAAGCTTTTAGAGTAGGAGGGCACATGATAAGGATCTCTTGGGGATAGTTTGTTTTTTGGGTTTTTTGTGGGTTTTTTTTTGTTGTTGTTTTTGTTTTACTCTTGTATTTTAGCTTTGTGATCTAAAATGACTTTTTTCTTTTTGAAACAAACTAACTTGTTTTGTATACTGTGTTCCTGCTATTCATGTCAACTTCTGCAATTTTCTGAGTTTTCTTAAGTATTTTAAATTTAATGATATCTTTTGGTAGTAAATTCCATAAGCTGTGTTGTGCACGACAACAAGTATTTCCTTTTTCTCTTTTGTCCTGATACTAGTGAAGAAGGTGATCTAAATTATATTCTTCTTGATAACCATACAACGAGACTGAGGGACTGTTGAGGTAACAGCTACTTTTTAGCACCGTTCTGTATGCAAGAAGGAGTATCTGTCCTGTGGCCATTTACACAGTACGAATTAGTTCTAGATGTGAACTATAATAAGGTAATTTAATCTAAAATTGATGATATATCTGCAGCAGACACTGTGTAGAATCCTGTTGTGCCCCATCCATGCAAGACAAATTTGGCGCAGTGGTAGCTATTAAGAATTTGCCTGTACCAGAAGTGTCTCTAAAGACAGAATCATTCATCA